GCTAGAAGTGAAACTTTATTCTCGGTTTAACCCGCAGCTGTGGAACCGTTTCAGCGGCTCTACCGGGACGACTTCTGTTTGAATCAAATCCTCCCAAAGTAAACGTTTAATTTCTCACAATCATCACCGGGATTATCAGTCACCACAAGAGGTTGCATTTGAAATATAAAGGTTGACATGAAGAGCCAATTACTGCATGGTACCAAAAAGAGAGGATATTAAAATAAAGATTATAAAAAATACTGTAAACCTTGAATATTCAAGAGTGAAGGTGAAACATGTCTGCATGTAGACATTAAATGGAGCTAATAATCATAGACAGGGATGTTTTCTGCTCTGTGTGTAGTTCAGTTTATGTGTTTTCATGTGAGAATTCATTAACTACATAATTAAATGTGCTGAGTTAGAAATGGTGGATAAAGGCTGCACAGCTACACTTGCTGGCAAAGCAGCCAATCGTGACCTCCTGCCTAATTTAATTATCTGTAGCTTAAAAAATATTAGCCGACAAAATTATTTATTTATTTATTAATAAACATATGATATTATTTGTCTTTTTTCTTTGAACTCAACTTGTTAGACATTTTAGACACGGAGTTATTATTCTGGTCAACGCGACTGAGATTTCCCAAAAGCAGATCATTTTTTCCTGGAAGATGAATGAATGAATGAATGAATGAATGAATGAATGAATGAATGAATGAATGTTCTGCAGATGTCATTCCTTCTTCATCCGTCCCTTTTGCTCCCTGCTGTTTGCAGCCATCGAGTGGCTAGTCATTAAGTTATCTCACTGACTAATTCATGGGCCATACTGGTTAATGAATGTGTGAATGTAAGCACACAGCTGCAGGCCGCCGCCAGCGCAGGTAGGCAGGTGTGTGTGGGGTCCGGACTCTTTACCTAATTGGACGAACTCCTGACATTTGGCGAGCTCAGATGAAACACGCACACCCTGGCAGCCACACTCTTAAAGGAGAGTACATCCAAGGGATCTGTTAATTAATCTTGTAAGAGACATCTCGCTGGAAGAGCAAGACTCCTTTCAAATGAAGTGATGCTGTGCCCCCCCCCCCCCCCCCCCCCCACAGCAGCCAAACGTGCGAGCAGGAATCTTGGATTAGAGGCTAATTTTACTGTCATTTGTCTTTTATTTTTTGCTGCTTTTGAATATTTTTCACATTCTCTGATAAAACGGTGCACGATTCCACGAGCACCCGTAATCACTCTTCTTCTCATTATGTTTTGCCTCTTAATTTGAGCTACTTTTCATCGTGTCAAGCTCTTGGCTGGAAGCAGCTGCACATGAATCATGCAGGCCCGTACCACCTGTGAGCTGGGCTGGGATCGGTGGCGGCACCATGCCCCAAAGCCATGTCAGAAACCCGGGTGCTGCTGACCTCATCTTGTTGGCTCACAGCTGGAAGGTGGGATAGAAGACGTGCCTAGAAAAAAAGGACTCTGTGTTAACAACATCCTAGCTTAGCCGAGCTATGACCTGGGAACTCCCCCTGTAGAGAGTGGCACCACCATGGAAGCGGTGTTCTGATAAATCGCCACAAGACTGCATGAATCTGACATTCAACACCATGAATGTACTGTGCTGCGACCTTGTTGTCGTCCACTCCTTTGGCCATTTCACATATCCTGCTTCACCCCTGCCAGCGTTTGTTCAATATGGCCCAATCCCAAAACTCGCACTTCCATCATTGCACCCTTCAGTTGTGTGTTCCAGTCGGGGGTGCAAGTGCAAAGGGCGTCCCGATCCTCAAATGTGGAAGTTGACATGCCCCCTTGGCACTCATCATTCACACTTTTCTCAAGTCCGTATCAGTTCGGTTCTGGGCAAAGAGTATTACCCACAATCCATTGCTGCATGGGAACAATGGCTCAAGTGCCCTTTCTGAAAATATGTATTTTCAAGCAAAAGAAGTTAAAGTGGCAATGTGCAGTTTTTACCATTAATCTCTGGAAATATCCATTGAAATGTAGTTGTAAATGAATTAAAAGATGCCCAGTTGTTGAAAAAAATTGGCAGTTTCATAACATATAGCCATAAAAATCTGTTCTAAAATACATGGCTTCCATGGCGGTCACGTGACATCACGTGGCACGGGAGATATCGTTATATTTTATACGTATTAGTTTCAAGATAAATATATAACGAGCCTTTTACGTTTTAAATTGTGTATATGTTTATTAAATTAAACATAAGTGAGTTACTACCCGCTAGCCACCGAAGCTGCTACTACTAAGCTACTAACCAACCATAGATAACTTCTTTGGATCTAAAACAAACATTTTAAATTAGCTGACTTACTTTTAAACTTGAACTTTGTCCCCGAAGTAGCTGCCAGCTTCTGATCCACCGTCCTTTTGAAAATGCCGCGGTGTATTCTGGGTAATTTTTGACCAAAACTACAAGACACCTCCCATGTATCCTCGCTCAGCTAGCTAAACGGCTAACAAACGGAGAACACACGCCTCAGTAGAACATGAA